GATAATTTTCACTTAAGAGACACTAACCGAAATGTTAAGTTGCTTAACTACAAAAAAACGGTCAAAATTTTTCCCAGAGTAAAGTTACGAACAATCCAAATAATTCAATTACTAATTGTGGGCCCCAAAATGGGTTGCTGTCTTTTTTCCGAGAATAAATTTTCCACTAAACAGATCTCACTCGAAAGGCGATAAATTCATGGTGGAACCAACAGACGATGCCTTATATTAATTGAGTAGACACCCCGCTGTCTCATATTAGGAGTCTGCCTCATAATAGGAGACTTTCCTCAATAAATATGTAAATTTAAGTGTTATACGAAGAAATCAATTTTGTTAGCACCGTCAACGCAGTATCTTACGAGTATGAAACGTTAGTAGTGTCAGAAGCCACCAGATAGCGAATGCATGCAATGCGAATTTCACAAGACATTTATTGATGCGCGTTAATCTTTGGAGAACAATTCGCATTACGTACGCGAAAGAATTATTCTCTTTATCTGATAATATATTGCACTGATTACCCCTACGAGCATCCCTATTCGATAATGAATAGTCGAAGATAAGCAATCGTAGGATCACTGCGGAGCAATTGCGGCACAGTCTGCAATCGTAACTTAATAAGCTCGCGCGGAAATGGTCACACGCGATGCAGTTCCATGTAACATCGATTGACCATTCAGTAGGTCTGACGGATGACGAAAATACATCGTTGAAAGTACTGCGTTACTAATAGTTCCACAAAGAATAAAAATACTCGCGGCGGTAATACGCTCCCAATGGGAGCAGACGCAAATGCGCCTGTTGCATTAAATTATATATGATGTATATGTAGAGGAAAGTCCCTTATTATGAGATAGACTTCCTTAATATGAGAGAGTAGGTTTCCAGCACCCAAATTCAATCACAATTTCTTTTTGCAACGATTACACAATCTACACACAGAAAAATATATACTACCTGCAAGTAAAGATTATTTGTTCTAAGTATTTGATAAGTTTATATATCCGCAAATCTATCATGATGTCGTCGCAAGTGTTATATTTCCTCAAAACATATTCTGGTTCTTAGTAAGTCTAGTATTTCAAACAAGAATACATAGAATTATTTGAAGCAAAACAATTTTGTTTCTTCTGATTTTATTAAAAGAAGCATACGGAATTCTTCAATAAGTTTTATAATTTTCTTCAAAGAAGAATAAATTCTTTCTTTGAGTATAAGATGGCAAGCTTTTCTAAAACTAGTAACAAGCATATCTTAAAACTATTATTAAGAAAATATTCTTTGTTGAAGCAAACTATTACTTAAACGGAATAAAATAAACTGAGTAATTACTTTTCTTGACTGTACAATAATATTTTTCTGTGTGTAAGGATGAATTTTTCACTAAACAGATTTCGCTCCAAAGGCAATAAATTCATGGTGAAATCGACAGAAAATGCCTGTTAATTTAACAGAAACTCCGCTGGCTCATATTAGGAGCCTGTCTCATAACAGGGGACTTTTCTCTACTACCAGACTCCTACCTTTGAGCCGACAAGTGAGGCGAGTTCCGCCATGTCTTGTTAAGCGTCGTCTACAATAACCGGCGTAAGCGTGGAGTAAGAAGTATATAAGAGTAGGCGTAAGAGAGCTACTTCCGGTTTAATAGAGCTGGAGTAAGGGCGTAAGCGAAATGAATTATTTTTATTTCTTACGCCTACTCTTACTCTTACGCCTTTTC